CATCGTCCTCAAGGCCTGGTGGGCCAGGATGTGCTCCATTCTCTCCTCCTCCCTCTTCATCTGTTGTGTGCTCCGATCAGATATGTCCCTCTCAAAGGTAGAGGTTTGAGTGAAGCATAAAGGGTAAGTTCTTATAGTAAACTCCTCCCTCTTCCAACCCTTACACAATTGTATCTTGTTAGATCATCTGATCTAACATCTGATGCTGTTCTAATTTAATAATCAGAGTAGCACTTAAAGAACACTCATTGTTGTCAGGCATGTATATTGTATATGTAGGAACACAATGAATTTTTACCACAACCATATGCTGTTATTATCCCCATTTTACAGATGAGGAAACAGAAGCACAGATTGATATTATGGTTTTGCTGTTTATATCAGTTGTCATCTAGTTGATGCAGACTTGTGGCAAACCCCAAACAAGCAGAGTAGAACTGTTATCCATGGTATTTCCATGGCTGAGCTCTTTCAGAAGCAGATATTCAAGCCTCTCTCCCGAGGTACCTCTACGTAAATTTGAACTATCAAGTTGACCTTGTAACCATTTGTGCCACCCAGGGACTCGTTTGCTCTCTAAGTTGGTGTTAGGTACTGCCATAAATCGAACTCTGCTCCCCCAAAATGTGTTAGCTGCCTAGGCCATGATTCTCAAGTTTGGCAGTGATGCATGGATATAATGTCACAGTTAAGTAATGATCCCCTATGGTGTTATCTGGTGTGATAGGCCAATAATTGTAAGAGGATTAAGGAGAGGATGCAAAACCATTTGTCTGTCATTTTGTCAGACTTTGGTGGCTTGTGTGTTGCTGTGATGCAGAAGCTATGTCACTAGTATTTCAAATGCCAACAGAGTCACCCAAAGTGAACTGGTTTCAATGGAGCTTGCAGACCAAGAACAGACTATGGAAAAGGACTAGGATCCCCACTTGGAGGAAATAGCTTCTGAAAACCTTATACATAGCATCAAAGCATTGTCAGATACTTAAAACCTCAGGAAAATTAGCAGCAGAACATGGTTAGATATAGTGCCAGAAGATGAACCCCTCCGCTGGAAAGGCACTCAAAATATGACTGAGGCAGAGCTGCCTTCTCAAAGTGGAGCCTACCATGGTGATATGAATGGGGTAAGACCTATGAGAGTGGAGCTTTCAGGATCTTCATTTGCTGGTGGGGCCCAACTCAAACGGAGAAGAAACAGCTGCAACTATCAATTTATAATGGGAATGTGGAGCTTTTCCGCCCGCTCTCCCCTTCCCCGAGTGCTGCTCCGGCCGCATCGTGCTCGCTCAGAGCTCTGGGCTCCTACTAAGCTAGCGCCGCCGCTGTCTCCCTTTAGCCGCCATCATGATCATCTACCGGGACCTCATCAGCCCTGATGAGATGTTCTCCGACATCTACAAGATCCGGGAGATCGCAGACGGGCTGTGTCTGGAAGTGGAGGGGAAGATGGTCCGTAGGACCGAAGGTAACATGGATGACTCCCTCATTGGTGGTAACGCCTCAGCTGAAGGCCCCGATGGCGATGCAGCAGAAAGAGCCGTGGTCACAGGTGTTGATATTGTCATGAACCATCACTTGCAGGAAACCAGCTTCACAAAAGAAGCCTACAAGAAGTACATCAAAGACTACATGAAATCAATCAAAGGCAAACTTGAAGAACAGAAACCGGAAAGAGTAAAGCCTTTTATGACAGGGGCTGCAGAACAAATCAAGAACATCCTTGCAAATTAAAAAAACTACCAGTTCTTTATTGGTTAGAACATGAATCCAGATGGCACGGTTGCGCTGCTGGACTACCGTGAAGATGGTGTGACCCCATATATGATCTTCTTTAAGGATGGCTTAGAGATGGAGAAATGTTAATGCAGTGGGAAACTCATGACCAATGCCTCTCAAGCTAACCGGCTGCTGTTCATCCACACGACCCCAGGACTTAGACAAACGGAACTGATGTCATCGTGAGCTCTCATTTACTTTTGACCTTGATCTATTTGGAGCGGAGGCTTTTTTTTTTTTAAGGAAAAAAAAAACGTCGTGTAGGTTGTCTAAAAATAAAATGCATTTAAACTAAAAAAAATTAATGGGAATGTGGAATGTATGAAATTTAAATCTAGGAAAATTGGGAGTTGTTGAAAAATGAAATAGAATGTATAAAGGTTGATATCCTCGGTGTTAGTGAACTGAAATTGATGGATATTGGCATTTTCAATCATAAAATCATATAGTTTAGTATTCTGGGAATGTCAGATTCAACAGAAACAGTATCACATTCATAATAAAAAATGACTTCAGGATCTATCTCAAAGTACAATGCTGTCTATAATAGGATATCTATCCGCCTTCAAAGAATTTCAATCAATACAGTTATTATTCAAATTTATGCACAAACCACTTAAGCTAGTGATGCAGAAACTGAAAAATGTTATCAACATCTTCAGTCTAAAATAATCAAATGTGCAATCAAGATGCATTGATAATTATTGGTGATTGGAATGCAAAAGTTGGAAGCAAAGAGAAAAAGTTGGTAAATATGGCCTTGGTGATAGAAACAAAGAGATTGTATGATGGAAATTCTCAAGACCAATGACTTCTTTATTGCCAAGACATTTTTTTCAACAACAGAAAAGACAAGTATACATGTGGACTTCTCCAGATAGAATAGTGGGTAAGGCCCTGGGCTGCTAACAGCAAGGTCAGGAGTTTGAAACCACTAGTTGCTCCTTGGGAGAGAGATGAGGCTCTCTATTCCTGTAAAGAGTTGCAGTATTGGGCACTCAGAGGGGCAAGTCTACTATGTCCTACAGAGACACTAAGAATCTGAATCAACTTGATGGCAGTAAGTCAGTGAGTGGGAAGAGATGACGGAGAAGCTCAATATCAGCAGCTAAAACCATACCATGGGCTGATTGTGGAACAGACCAAAAATTGCTCAGATGTAAATTCAGATTGAAGCTGAAGAAAATGAAAACAAGTCCATAAAAGCCAAAATACGACCTTGAGTCTATCCCACCTGAATTTCAAGAATATCTCAAAAACATATTACGCACATTGAATACTAATGACAGCAGACCTGATGAGCTGTGGGAGGACATCAAGACCACCATTCATGAAGGCAGCAAAAAGTCATTAAAGAGACAGGAATGAATAAAAAGGTCAAAGCGGATGTCAGAAGAAACTTTCAAACTTGCTCTGGAATGTAGAGTAGCTAAAGTGATTGGAAGAAATAATGAAGTCAAAGAGCTGAACAGAAAATTTCAAAGGGCACCCTGGGAAAACAAAGTCAAATATTACATATAATGAAATGTGCAAAGACATAGAGTTAGTAAAGCAAAAAGGAAGAATACACTCAGCATAACAGAAACAGAAAAAAATCAAGAAAAAAAAATTCAAACCTTGAGTGGTAATACTGAAGATTCCATGGGGAAGATATTGAATGATGCAGGAAGCACCCAAAGAAGAAATAAAGAATGCAAAAAATGACTGTACGAAAAAGAACTAGTTGACATTCCACCATTTCAGAAGGTGGATTATGAAGAAGAACCAATTGTATCAAAGGAAGAAGTCCAAGCTGCACTGATGGCATTAAGCAAAAAACAGCGCTCTGGGAATTGATGGGATACCAGTTGAAGTATGTCACCCACTGGAAACACTCACTTGTCTATGTCGGGAAATTTGAAATCGAGGGACTTGACGAACTGACTGGAACAGAACCATATTTGTTGCCATTCCAAAGAAAGGTGACCCAGAAAAAATGCTCAAACAATATCATTTAAACAATATCATTTAAACAATTTTACTTCTTTCTCAATCTAGATACATTTCTAGTTCATTTTTTATTGCTCTGACTAGGCTTTTAATTTAATTTTTTTCCCAAACCATTTTATTAGGAGCTAATCCAGACAGCATACCATTGCATAGTTCAATCATATCAGGCTGTGCTGCTTGATCACTACCATAATCAGTTTCACAAGCATTTTCTTCCTTCTTGAACTCCCCTTACCACCCCACCTCCCTTGCCATACCCACCAGGAACCCTTATCTTAGTTACTGTCTCTATAGCTTCACCTATACTGAGTTTCAGATATACTGGAAAACATAGAAAAATACATAACATAGAGTCAAGAAGGCTACCAACCATGACAAAACACAACCGAGATAAACTCCAATATGAAAAAAACCCACAGAAAATATTAAAAACCAGATGAAGCAAAAAATTTACCAAAAGAGAGACTACATGACAAGGATTTAATCATTGAAGTCAGATTTATCATTTTAATCTACTATAGTCATCGCCCCAATACTGTCTGATCATCAGGTTATTCCCACCCAGAGGATCATTATTATCATATGCAAGTAAAATTTTCCTGACGATCATCCAACAACAGTTGCAGCAGTCCTTTAACAAGGAGCTTCCAGAAGTTCAGGTCAGATTCAGAAGAGGACGTGAAAAAAGGGATATCATTGCTGATGTCACATGAATCTTGTGTGAAAACAAAGAACCCTAGAAAGATGTTTACTTGAGGGGGGAGCGGGGAGGGAGGGGAAAAATGAGGACCTAATGTCGGGGGTTTAAATGGAGAGAAAATGTTTTGAGAAACGATGTACAAATGCGCTTTACACAATTGATGTGTGTATGGATTGGGATAACAGTTGTATGAGCCCCTAATAAAATGTTTAAAAAAAAAAAAAGATGTTTACTTGAATTGTATTGACTATGATAAGGCATTTGACTGTATGGATCACAATAAACTATGGATAGCCTTCAGAAGAATGGGAATTCCAAAACACTACATTGTGCTCATATGAACTCTGTACATGGATCAAGAGGTAGTTGTGTGAACAGAACAAGGGAATGCTGCATGTTTTAAAATCTGGAAAGATGTGTATCAGGGTTGCATCTTCTCACCATATTTATTCAACCTGCATGCTGAGCAAAGCATCAGAAAATTGGGATTACTGTATATGAAAATGAATGCAGCATCAAGATAGGAAGAAGTCTTAGGAACAACCAGCAATATGCAGATGGCAAAACCTTGCTTGCTGAAAGTGAGTTGTAATCCATACTGAAGACCACAATCCTTGATCTTCATCAGCAAGTGCTTCAAGTCCTCTTTACTTTCATATTGTATTGGGCAAATCTGGTGCACAAGACCTCTTTAGAGTGTTGAAAAGCAGGGAGGTTACTTTGAGGACTAAGGTGTGCCTGATGCCAACCATGGTATTTTCAATGGCTTCATATGCATGTGAAAGTTGGACATTGGCTGAGGGAGACTGAAGAATCGAAACATTTGAAGTGTGTTGCTGACTAAGAATATTGAAAGTACTGCTAAAAGAATAAACAAATTGGACTTCAAAGAAGTATGGCCAGAGTGAGTGCCCCTTAGAGGCAAGGATGGCGAGACTTAGTCTTATATACTTTGGATAAGTTGTCAGAAGAGATCAGTTCCTGGAGAAGGATATCATGTTGGATAAAGTAGAGGGGCATTTAAAAAGAGGAAGGCCTTCAATGAGATGGACTGACACCCTGGCTGTGACAATGGTTTCAGGCACAGTAACAATTGTGAGGATGGCATAGAACTGGGCAGTGTTTTGTTTTGTTGTGCATAGGGTCTCTATGGATGGCACCTACCAATAACAACCTCTGCTCAAAGTAACTATGAAAAGCCCTAGAAACATGTTGGTTAATTTAAAAATGTGATCAGAAAGGTGAGGCTCATGTTAAATCTTGGTAGACTAGCTTGATCTCTATAACTTGTTATAATGTACTTACCAGCAATTGAGAGATCCATGATGTATTAGGCTAGGTTATCTAGAGAAGCAAAATCAGTGACACATATCTAAGTATATAAAGAGAGTTTATATTGAAGAAACTCAAGCAGGTAAATGCAATCCAGTTCAAATTCGTGGGTCAGATATTAAGCTGGAAACTTCTGATTTGTGTTGCTTCAGGGGCTGGTGAACCAGGAAGCAAGAAGACAGAGTAAGATAGATGCAGAGTCAAATGAATTCAAATTTGGCAGTTGGCTAATGGCTCCTGGGATCAACAGGCAATATGGCAGGAGATTTAGGAATTAGACGCAGGATCCAGACCCAGGTGAACTGAGAAGTTTCCCACAGAGTCTGCTTTAAAAGGAGGAGACCACACCCTTAAACTGTCTTTCTTCCAGTTACATCAAGGCTGTAACCTGATTGGGGGGGTGGGTATGCGGGGAGGGACAGGGACTGGACGCTAACTGGTAACTGCTCCTAGAGTGGATTATTGTTATGTTAGATCCTTTCATGGAGTTGTTTGTGTTGTATTACGTCACATCATGGGAGTTTACTGCCAAACTCTTGAGAATCTCAGCCCAGCCAATTTGACATAAAGCCTATTACATATGACATGAAGGTTTTAAAATCTTGGTTATCAACTCTCTTAACTTTTTTAAACCAAGAAAATCTTTCTCTAATTGTGCTTTGGAATTTTTTACCTTAGGCAGATTTCGTTAGTTGTGAGTTTGGTAACTGTTTTGTTGAGTGTTTTTCATTTAACAGTTGCACTGTAATTTATACAGTTATAGGCCAAAGCATACACTGGAAAGCTCTTGGGAGGGGAGCTGAGTAACAAATTACAATATCCTTGAGTGAGAACATTCCCTCTTTGTCTTCCTTCTTATTCCCTCACTCCTCTTTTCTTTCAAATAAAGACCCTTAATACAGAGTTCTCACCAAACCACATATTCTGCTTTCCAAGTAGATAAAAAGAAATGTTCCCTGTTTAGAGAGCCTACAATTACTTTTTTAGCTGCAACCTGAACATGGAGCTAATAGGAAGTGAGACACATAATTTTGTAAATTTTGCCAAATATACCCCAAACACCATGTA